ATACTTTATTTTGTTGTATTTAAACCATCAAATTTTGGGGCTGTTTCCTCATGGTCCTTCTGCCCTTCCTCCCCCTGCCCCATTTTCCCATGATGCTGATGAAACTGCTTTATTCCGTTTCCCATCTTTTCCTCATCCAACTATCCAGGCCTTTTTCTTTGTCAATACGTGATCCTTGGTGCTTGTCTCTGAAGGGCAAAAAGTGTTCTACCTGTTAGAGAAACTTAGGACCTGCCAGTACTCTCGGCAGCATTGCATGTTTTGATGCCTTCCTTTAGCTCAGGGCACTCTCAACCAGTCCTCCCTCTCTGGGCAAGTGTCTGTCTCTTATGAAACATGAAACACTTCAAAAAGGCCTCTTGCCAGAGATTTGCAGGCATATGAATGGGAAACACCATATAAACAGTGAAAAAAGACACATCTTTTCAAGTTTTTGGATTTTCTCCTTCACGATCTTAAAAAAAGCAATTAGAAATCTTTCCTTTAATAAACCCAGGCATAGATAATAGTAACTAGAGTGTGATACTTGTCCTTATAATGTTTCTAAAAAACATCACTCAGGCCAGAGTTTGTCTCAGCTATGCTGAGGACCGACCGTCATTCAGTCTGTAAATTACCTCATGGATTTTCTCATTCCTAAAAAAACGGTTTGCTACGCTCAAACACTGACATCACGTGAAGATGCCAGCTTCTATACACATTTATAAAAGTAGAATATACGGAGTATGATACACTAGTACAAAGTTTTACAAATTAATACAAGTAAAATATATAAATTACAATGAAATAAAGGAAGATCGTGGTTCTGTCGTGGGGTGGTTCTTTTAGCAGTCGTATCGCTGTAAAGAAAATGAAATATGCATTACGTTACAATCAGGCTAAACAAACAACGATGCCATGTTAGTCCTAAAAATTCCTGTTTTAAGCAAACATAAAGTGGGCTGATCTCCACTACCCAGAGCTTTTGGCCAACAACACTGAGAGCTTGGACAATGTTCCTGAAATGTTTCCTAAACAAACCAGATCCATTGTCCTCTCTTAGGAAAAGCTGCAGGAAAGGGCCATGGAAACCACAGCTTACTGGTGTTTGCTTGGCTTTGAATGCATTTGGGGTAGGCTTTTAATCTTAGGGATTTAAGAGATAATGCCATGGGAGTTTCACACAGGAGTGGGCTCAATGTGGGTAACCTTCCCAATTAAGTGCTACCAAGTTACAGACTTGACTCATCTACACTAAAAACCTTGCCCTCTGAAAGCGTCTTTTGTCTTAGAAACAAAAATAGCAGATCTGCACTGTGGTGTCTGTGAAAAAGCCATCTCTTCGGTGACTCAGACGGGAAATCCCGTGGGACTACTTGCTCCCCACCCCCGCTCAGAGAACAGGGTCACTCTGGCAAATCACTACAGCAACTTTGGTCATTGACACATTATGCCTGTCCCCAAAATGCACAAGTGCTGATGTCCAAAGGGGCCTCACCTAATTTAAACTCTGCCTTGTATGAAATCCAAGGCTAAAGATTGGTCACATTAGAGTAAGTCTGAGAAGACTCTCCTCTGCCTCTCCCCAACCATACTGCCTGGAAACAACTTCATATTGAAGGTTTCCCACTGCGCTGTTTTCTTGGAAATTTGGCAGGCTCCCAAGGATATTATTAATCTTGCTGTACTTGCCTGATAAGGAAAACTAGATTTTTCTTTTAATGTCCCCTCAAAAATTAGAAAGTTTCCTTTTATTCATAGCAAGGTTTTTCATGGTAGCCACATGCTTTCAGTTTTAATTAGATTTTGTCTTATTTTAAAAGACAGTTAAGAGACCTTGAACCAAAGGAGTAAATGATTAGGAAAATATAAATTAAATAAGTTTCTGTTTACCTAATCCTGTTTTACAGAATAAGACATAAAACTAACCTCCCAAAATTGGACCAAAGCTGGACTTCCATCAATTCATTACTATGTGTTTTTTTTTTTTTTTAGGAGGATATAGAAACAAGAACTTTCCCCGCTACTAACAAATGCATACTTCTCTCTGAAATCATATCCCCAGGAAACAAGTGCTTCCTGGTTTTCTTTCACCATGAAAGGTTTTTTTCATGAGCTGCTATTCAAAGGTTATTAGTGATTCTCTGTGCTTAGCTGTTTGGGTATTTTTGTGACTCCTTATTAGAAGGCATTGTAGAAAATCCAACAGAACAGCAAGTGTTGTGGACAGGTTGAGAGCAGGAGCTCGCATAAAATGACCTAGGGTTTGAAGCCTGTTACTTCCTGCCTAGGTGATCTTAGACATACTGCTTAATGTCTGACTCATAGTCTCTTCTGAAATGTGAGTTTAGCTCCGTGCCTGGTGCAATGAACATTGACCACTATTTGCATATACTAGTTGGGAACATGAGAGCAAGCAAAATTATGTCTCCTTGGCCAGAGCAGGGGTAGTGAAAGGGGCAGTAAGTTTGCTCTTGAAAGGAAACTTTGGGTACGGGCAGCATTTTCCTATATACACAGAGCCAACTATAAAAAAAAAAAAAGATAACCCAGCAACTATGATATACAGGAAGCTTATTACTGAAAGCAAAATTGAATGCTGTAAATGCTTTGCCACAAAGATGATATAGGAACAAACGTTGGTAGTTGGAGCAGAATCTGATTTTGCCTTTTTTTTTCTTTATGATGAAAATAACAGTGTGTTACAGTAATTGAATACCCCAGGGCCAGGCTGTGACATTTTCACAGCTCTTACCTGTTGGCGAGAGCAGCAATAGCCACATATGCCTCCCATCACACCATTTATTACTTGAATGAGACATAAGATGAATTCAATTCCACCCAGGGCCAAGAGGATGGAAAACAGAGAGACGTTCCATTCTACAATATGCTTGGGTTCCATGCACTGGGACCATGTGGAGGTATCCAGAAGGTACCTGTGGATGAAAAGAAGAAACTTCTGATATATGACCACATCTAAGGGGATGTCTCATAAGCTACTTTCTGTGTGGTGCTTTTTTGTTCAGAAAAAAAGAAACTAATTCAATGACCTGTGTCAAATTTTTCTAGTCTGTCATTTCACAAAGTGACAAATTCAGATCTTGCTGCAATGATAAACATAAAATTCAACAAAGATTATTGAGCACTCATTGTGAGTTAGACCTCAAGCCAGGGCTGGGGATACAATGGTGAACATGGCATGGGTTCTGCCTTGGAAGAGCATAGCATCTAAGGGAGGAGACAATATGCAATCTCAATGTAACCAGTACACTGATCAGGAAGACCAAGTGTGAGGAAGGGCATCTCCCCTAGGCCAGGAGAGTACCTGCTTATGTAACTATTCCACAAGTCTGAGCTCCATGAAGTCCGGAACCAGACCTTTCATCATTGTATATATAGACCCTAGATCAGTATCTAGTACATAGTAGGTACTGAACACATTTTAAAAGTAATTGAACGATAAATAATCTGAAGTCACTCTGTGAAATGTTAGCAAACCACACTGAAGTCACATTTGACTACACACACACACACACACACACACACACACACACAGAAGTCATATACACGTATATATACAACTTAGGAGACTTTCTAAGTACCTGGATATTCTTACAGTCTGAAAAATTCTATCTCTGATTGCTCTTGTAGACTTTCAGCCTTTGCTACATCATAAAGCATTTGGATTCTTAATGAAATAGGATTCAATCGTGGGAAAATCTACAACTGACTTAATCCCACAAAGAGGTCTGGTATAAATCTTTTCTTATCACTTCTTCCTACCACAGCAGAACAAAGGGGCTTAGAATTGGAGACCTAACTTTGAATGGTTCATTGAGCCAATCAGAAACTCAATGTGTTGGTTAAAAAAAAAGAATTCTGTCCTTATGACCCCATCTTTCTGCATATCAGGAGGTGGGGGGAAGTTGTAATTTTAGGACACAATGTAAAAAATTCCTTTGTCCCCATCTGGCTATTGAGCAATTAATCACTGGCTTGTGACCATTAGCTATTCCTCATATTGAAATCCCTGGACAGGTTGAAGTGAGGAATGATATAGAAGCAGAAGGCTTCTTACAGAAGCTGGGGTGGCTGGTGGGAGGGGCATACAATCAAACAGCTGTAAAATGCTGAGTGATATTCTCACTTCTCCTTGCATTCCAGCTTCATCCATCATGATCTTTTTTGGAGGTGGGTTTGTGCAGTAGCTTGAATGTCTGGGCATCTATAGCCAATTTCCACTCACACTTTCAGTATGTTCTGAACAAAGTTGAATCACGATCCATAACTATATTGGCCACCCAAATTTCAAACCCCCGTAAAGCTAACATTTGTTCAGAGGCTACTATTGGGTTGTATTCATTGTCAGTTAGCAGATAATATTAACAGCCAACAGAGGCCAGCCTCAGAGTGTGTCAGCTTGTGTGATAAATACTTTACATTTATTATCTCATTTATCCTATGACAACTGCCATTGGTTTTATTTTACAAAGTAACTGAGAAACACAGAGCTCAGTTCACTGTTTCCCGGTTGCTGAGGGAGAAATGCAGAGCTGAGATAAAATCCAGGTCCACATAATTCCATGTTCACAATTTTACGAACTCAATGTATGCTATACAATTCACGGGGGACAGTCTCGATAGGGTAAGGGCAATTGAAATCATTATTCATATTATTTCCACTCCTGAATCTCATAACGAAGCCTTTCAAAATTCAACGAAGGATGTCATTCATTTGCTGTCATGTACATCAGTTTCTATGAGCTATTTCTGTTCTTTTCTCAGTAATAGATAAGAAATAAATACCGACATAAAACAACGGAGCTTAAATTATCCTGACGCTAAGATCATGTATAAGACTGTCTTATGTAGCCTGATCACTTTACTTTTCTTTTAATTTTTATTATTAAAAAAATTTTTTTTAATGTTTATTTATTTTTGAGAGAGAGAGAGAGAGAGAGAGAGAGAGAGAGAAACAGAGTCCAAGCAGGGGAGGGGCAGAGAGAGAGGGAGACAAAAGAATCTGAAGCAGGCTCCAGGCCCCCACCTGTCAGCACAGAGCCTGAGGCGAGACTCGAACTCACCAACAGTGAGATCATGACCTGAGTTGTAGGTGGACAATTAATGCACTGAGCCACCCAGGTGCCCTGCCTGATCACTTTAAATAAAGGGTTTGTTGTACATAGCGATTATGTTATATTGTGAGTGTATGAGGATAGTATGATCAATCGGGGAGTTGGTTAAATTCAGATGCTTTCCATCCATAGTATGTAAGGATTCCACAATATTTTCTTATAAAATAGTAAAACCAGCCAATTGTTTTGGTATAGTGCACACACTACATAAGCCCGAACTCTACAGCCCGGCTGCCTGGCTGTCATGTCCTAGGAATGTGCCTTTGGATAAATTACTTCAGCTCTCTGTGCCTCTTTTTCCTCATCTGTAAAACAGGAGCAAGAGTGGAAGTCAACTCCTAGAGTATCATGAGGGCTGAATCAGTGAATCCATTTAAAAGCACTTAGAGCTTCTCCAGGTCAGAGACTGGGCATCCACCCTCTGACACCACTGCCTGGTGCCTGAGTCACCGCCTGGCTGAGTGCACGGATACATGGATAATTGATGCTTTTCTAACTCGATGGGATTGCCCCTATACCATGCGGTGGACAAGAATGTGTGGTCGGACAGGGAACAATGACTTACTGTCCATCGGTGTTGGCAAAGGTGTAGTTCCACTGGCCAAGAGAATCACGACATACTGGCCCTTCGGCCAAGCCCAGGGCTGCCACGATGACGCAGTAGCCAGACCCTGCAATCCCAATGAGGGCCGCCAGGACGGAAGAAAGCATCTAGGGAAAGGAGAGACGGCAGAAGTGAGCCCGAGCGTCGCACCTGCCTCCCAGGGACCCTTTTCACCACCCGAGCTGGAGCACCTACCGCGCATCTCTTGCCACAGTTTTCGTGGCCACAGCAGCCACAACAGTCGTCCTGCTCCAACCCAATGAATACGAATGCCGGCAGGAACATCTGTTTAGAAAACAATCAAATTAAAATCACCATCTTTCCCCACATTAAAGCCTGTCATAAGGGTCAGGCTAAGCATCTTTTGGTAAAATACCTTGCTTTCTGACAATGTGGAATGGCTTTGGATTAGGTCGGCCCAGTATCACAAAGAATGTAAAACTATGAGGGGGAAAAAAACAACACCTCTAAATGAAATATCTGCTTGTTTTCATGTAATGTGTCAAAGCATTCTTTAGGGTGAGGGTGTCGTATGGGAGGGATAGAATAATAACCCATAAATATGTTTCTTCCACAAGAGTTCCCTCACGTAGTCCCAGAGGCAAACTCTGTTTCTGTTAAACCCTGCCTTTAATTTGTTTTCTCCCCCCTTGTACACATAGATGATACAAGTCTTTAATATAATAATTTAAACGTTTTTGTAAGTGGGAGAGATGAAAGCGGCATATAATATATAAAAACCGTTTCTTTGATGATGCGATTGTATGGTTGTTGCTTCACAATAAAGCTCCTTAAATAAAGTAAGTATGAAATACTCTGAGTTTGATCAAAAGAAGCCTAAACAAGGGTGACGTTATATTAAGGACAAACCGTTGTTAACATGGTAACAATACTTAAATTCAAAGCCGATTTGCCATACCATAATTAGTGCATTAAATTTAAATGTTTTCAGGTCTTTTCTTGACTAAGAAAAATATTCTGTGTGGTATGAGCAATTCCACAAAATGTCTTTTTAAACTTCTCAATCCCAGCATTTAAAGTGGCAAGCTCGAGTTTGTCCACATTCTTTCCGTGCTGTGGTTGAAGCTAATACTTTCAGCTCCCAGGTTGGCAGGCAAATTCCTCTCACTTCAATTAAAAACAAACCTTGGAAAAAACAACACATTCCGCTGTTAGCTTCAGATCCTGATCTGCTGCTAACGGGAGGATTTTTCCTAGACACCACACCCAGGATTACATAAAGGAGAAAATGTATCCTTCTTTTTAAGTAGCAATACACTCATAATTGATAATTTTTCCTGTCACAGATGTCTGAGAATAAACAGCAGACAATTTGGATCCGAAACTGTTGATTTAGACAGAGAACCAGTGACGCCCTCCCAGCTCCCTAGGGCAAAGGTTAAATGCCTACCCACTTCAGTTCTAGAAACTCTAGACACTCTCAGATCTGACTGAAAAGCTAACATCTGTTTTCTAGCTGTAAAGTGAGAGAGCTTAGCAAAAAGGAAGTTCGCTGTTGGTTGAAAGAGGACTTTGTAAAACGTCTGATAAAATTAATACGCTAGACGTCGCCCAACTTTTGTGCAATCTGCTTTCAAAAGAAGATGAACAAAAATAACTGGCTTTGGAAATAGGCATGGTAGAAAACTTTCCATGAAAACACCTGTTTAACAGAAGAGACTTTTTTAAGCTTGTAATAATTCTGAACAACTTACCAGCAAGCCCCCTCCTACGATGCCAGAAAAGAACCACACGAAGCGGCTGAGATGGTTTTCGGAGGCATATTTTGTTTCCCCATTTGGAAAGTAAAGCAGAATATTAGCTACAATGCAGAGGATGGCCAGCCACACCAGAGAATGTCCGATGCACCGCGCACATTTTCCGTAACACATGGTGGTGGCAGAGGCTGCGAGGATTTCCCTCTTCACTCTGCAGTGCAATGATGGCCAAGTCAGAAGAGAGTATGCCTGTCTGTGGAGAAAGCAAAAGCAGTTCTCAGCCCATTCCTGCAACCTCTTAAATACTCAGTTCTTAGTCACCGGGTTGGGGGAGGGGGAGGCGGTGAGGTACTTGGCTTTCATTGGTCCTGATTGCGGGCTCTGGTTGGGGTGGGGGGAGGTAGGGGGAATGTCCCGCCCTTGCAATGAAATCCTTGAGACAAGCGAAACCAGGGTAGGGATGTGGGAAACAGCCTCAGTCTTAAGCAAGAAAGAAAATGATTAATCTTCACCGAGAAATTCACAGTGCTACTCCTTCACAGGATGAAGAATTGACAGGAACGCGTAATACAACTTTCCAGTAACTGTCAAGTGTCCGTAGTGTGACCGTGCCGGTTGAGGCTTTGAAAGGCAGCGAGCTGTGATCCTGCTCCATGCAGCTGTCTGGACAGCTTCCAGTCTGAGGGCTGTGTGTTCACTTCCCCTGCTGCACTGACTTAATTCCAGACCTGGGGCAAGTCTCCTGAGCTCTGAGGTTGTCTCCTTGTCTGTTAAAGGTAAGGTGTCTAAAAGCCATCACCCACAGGTTTGAGGTGGCTGTTGGGAAAATTACCAAGCAGGCTTCTTTCCTCTGCCTACTGCCTGCTCTGCAGGACCGATCCGACTGTCCAGCTTTCCTGGATATCTGCCTCCAAAACAAATCTGGTACCAAAACAAAGGTGGCGTTAGTCAACACAAAGGGCTCAGGCACCTGTCTATTCCTGAGTATTACTCTCAGGCAAAGCAATGCCAGGAAAGGCCAAGGGAGGCCTAAAGCATGGGAGAAGGATAGAAAGAAAAAGACAGGAAGGAAGAAGAAGAAAGAGACAGAAGAGAAAGGGACTCGGCAAGCAGAGCAGGGAAACAGGACGGAGAGAATGCAGAATGAGCGGGAGAGCCAGGGTTGTTGATCAGGGCCCGGGTCTACCTGTGGTCTACCCAGCCAGCTCCTGAACCAGCTGTTGCAGGCTTACATGTGAAGGCAGGGAAAGGGTGTTACTTCCATCTTACAGAAGGAGGGGTCAGACTGTGAGTAAGTCTAGCCCTTGAAGAGCAGCTTGTGCAAGCCAGGTAGGCTGGGGAAGGACGGGGTGGCCAGGTGGGGCCAGGACTGGAGGGGACGTGTGCCCAGGACAGAATAGTGAGTGCAGAAAAGAATCAGAAGTCCAAGATGGGGTACTGTTAGTTCAGAACAGGAAGGTGAGCAAGGCTGTCGAATCCAGCAGCTCAGGCTGAGACCGGAGTCTGAAGGATTTAGGCCAACACTGGAGGGCAGGATGCATACCAAATGTGAGGAGGCGAGCTGGGGTTAGTCACATAGAATCTGGACTGGGAGGAACATACTCACAAAGGTGGGGTCATGATCCAGACTGGCCTGAGGAAGTAGAGGGATGGAAAACTGACTGTAGGTGGAGAAGCCTGGAACTGCCCAGCTGCTCAGGCATAGGGGGGCAGATCTTCACAAGAACGTTGCTCTGTTTCCACCATGCATCCAACAACCGGGCACATGCACCCTCTGTCCCTGGCTTTAGGTCCTAATGGAGAGGAGATTCCACAGATAGCAAGGCCTGGGGTGGCATAAAGGCCTGGGCCCTTTGTTAAGGCATCATCATTGCAAACCTCCTCTCTTGCTGATCCACCCCACCTGGGGCCAAAATGAGGGTGAGCAATCGTTTGACGACTTTGCTCCTGAGTGCTTAATCACCTTTGCCCTTCTCCCCCACCCCTACGATCAACAGAGTGTGGAGAAGAGAGTGAGGGTCATGCAAAAAGTCTGGAGTGACAGCCTACCTCTGCTGTTTTCCAGTTTTGTGGATCAGGGAAGTCATCACATTCCTGGGACTCTGGTTCCTCCTCTCTAAAGTGTGGGACAGGATTGGATCAGTGGGTCTTAAGTTTTGAGACTCTTGTGATGGTATGGATTCTCTCCCTGCCCAGAGAATGTGCATGTATGCAAGCACACACATTTTTCACTCACTTCCAGGGTTTCATGGACTCCCTGAAGCCCATTAGTGGATTCTCTTCCACATTTCTCCGGATGAATCCTGTCTGGAGACCATTTGCATCACAGATGCAGATACCTGGTCCACCCTCAACAGAATAAATAGGAATTTCTAGGGATGAGGCCCAGTCATCTGAAGTTTTTACAAGTACTCCAAATGAGTCTTATGTTAGCTCAGGTTGGGGATCACTGGTCCAAAGGCCGGGTAAATACCGTTTGTATTACATGTTCCCTGAGGCCACTGTCACCTCCACTGGCTCCATAGCTCTAGACAGACATACAGCATATGCATGAATGGTGGGGGGACAAAGTGCCACCCGACGTAGGCCACTTTCAGGCTTCACTTGTAATATGGAGTCTATCCACCTTGCCCACACTCCTGTCATTCTGCATGGTACCCTCTGCTTCTGCCCCTCATCTGGGAACCTAAATCAGGGTCTTTTCTGGTTTGGGCTCCTCATTTAATAATCAGATATGCTTTTCTGGACAACTGTTTAACTACTTGGTTCTGGTCCTAGCCAGACTCTGTCCCACAGATGACCCTGGCTTTTTTCTCCTGGCTGTGAACTCTCAGTTTCCTATACAGAGCTGCCATCTCCATGGGCACGTTCTGGGTTTCATCCCACTCTCCAAATCCCCCCCCCC